GCCCACCTTACTGAGGAGCACCTTCCGGAGGCAAGGGCTCTGAGCTCTTGCAACTCTATATCAATAAGTCTCTGTTTAAGCAAAGTAAAGACCTCAAGCTCTGACCGGATGACAAGGTCACTCAGGTTAAAACCAATAGAAGTGATTTTCTTTTCAATAGCCATAAGCCACGCAGAGGATTGAGATTCTTCCAGCATATAGGTGATAAGGCTATTGTGGTTACATCTAAAATGCAGACGTAGCCAAAATCTGAAAGTAATAATCCAGGCCTTGGTCTCTAACCGTCTCAAATTAAGCTCCAGACAAATGGCAGCATAAGATACAAACGAAGGCAACCCCAGAATCTTCCTCTCAACCTCCTCTTCTCCAGACTGAACGTGCCCAAGTCCCTCAGCCTTTCCTCGCAGGGCTTGGTCTCCAGGCCCCTGATCATCTTCCAAATTCCAAAATCATATATACCAGTTTGGGTGCTGCATGCAGCTCTTTCACGCAGTCTAATTTAATGTTAACAAAAAGCAAATCTGTATATTTTTCCAATAAAAACATGTGTGTAATATTTGTTCGTGTCTTGCGGCTCTCAAACATCCGATGTTTATTCTGCATGGCTGTTACGTTAAGCAAGTTTGGCCAACCCTGATATAGACACGAGGGCCAATGGACTTGACCTGATGCGTTTCGGCCTGCCAGGGCCTTCTTCAGAGGTCAAACACAATGCGGGACAAATTAACTTATACCACAATACTTAATACAATACAATTATACAGCATGGATACAAAATGGACCAGAAAGGAATTGTTCTGGAGTGAAATCACTAGGCATAGAATGAAAATATAAATGAGGCTTCCCTAGATCCAGCCACCTGGTGGGATGAGCTCCCCATACCAGATCAGGGCCCTGCGGGACTTATTGCAGTTCTGCAGGACCTGCAAGACAGAGCTCTTCCGCCAGGCGTTTGGTTGAGGCAGCTGACATCCCTCTCCCCCCCACCAGCTTCTGGCCAAGCACCCACCAGTGTCCTGGATCTGATTAGACATCCGATTAGAGCAAGTGATTAGAGCCAGTTTGGTGTAGTGGTTAAGTGCGCGAACTCTAATCTGGGAGAACCGGGTTTGATTCCCCACTCCTCCACTTGCACCTGGCTGGATGGCCTTGGGCAAGCCATGGCTCTGATAAGAGCTGTCCTTGAAAAAGAGCAGTTTCTGTCAGAACTCTCTCGGCCCCACCCACCTCACAGGGTGTCTGTTGTGGGGAGGGGAAGGGAAAGGAGTTTGTAAGCCGCTCTGAGACACCTTTCGGTAGTGAAGGGCGGGGTATAAATCCAATCTCTTCTTCTTCTTCTACTGCGTAAATTAGGCTGCTCTGGAGCCATCCTTCCTGAGCGAAGACAAAAAAGTGTGAGCCGGAGGCTAAGAAACTGAGCTAGCTCACACTAACTCAGCTCAGAGGGAACACTGGTCCCAACGTGACTGCAAATTGGCAGCTCGTTTTTGTAGTATCTTTCCTCCCCCTTGTCCAGGCCAGCGACAAATGAAACCGCTATATTTCACAATGCGATAGCGGCCATTTCCCCACCACTGTGCCAGCCCATATTATTAAAAATATCGGGTTCCCTTGTACGATGTGGTTAAAGACCAGGACGCAGGAATATTACAGATCTGACAGATGACCTGGTCTTTTGAGGACTAATATTAATCACTCTGACCTTCTTCAGGCCCTGTGTGAGATTCCATCTCTTCCTTTATTTCTTCTTTCACATCATCTTCAATCATCACTTTACCTGCAGAGATGATTACAAGCAAGTGATGGGAGAGCAAGCATTGATAACATGTTCAATTTCCTCTTACTTGTATTAAAGTGTACAAGACTTGCTAAATGTGCTCATGGCAACAATCTCACACTGCGTTAAAGCGGACTGCTGATACCCCCCCCCCAAGATTCTCACAAATCACTTACAAGGAAAAGACTAGAAAGCTTAGGGCAGTGTCTAAGAACAGAAACTAAAGCAAACCCCCCCCCCCAAATAACCCGAAGCTGTAAAGAAGGCAGAGGGAATGTGCTCTTAAAAACTAAACGTTGTGACCATTTTTGATCCTGTGAAACCGGAGATGAATTTACTAAACATTCCAAGCATTTCTTTTTGAAACAAAGAAACTTCCACAGATGAGAAGTGTAAGTGTACTAATTTGCAAGTCCCAAATGATTAATCAGTTCTATTTTTTTTAATTAATTAATTTATTTATTTATTTTTGGGATTTCTATCCCGCCCTACCCAGGGGCTCAGGGCGGCTAACAACAATTTTAAAAATTTGTAACAATAAAACAGTATATATACAAATAAAATTTGGTGCTACAGATCTACATGCATTATCAACAAAGTGTCAGTGCAAGATGGGGTAGAACTTCCTCAAATGGTATTGGTCCCACAACTTGTCGGCCCCTCTCTTTCCAGGGTCACCTCGCACCCAGATGGAACCACATATCAGTGGTAGTGGTGCGATGCTGCATACATATCGGTGGTGGAATTGGAGTAGCGGCAGCTCCTACCCAAAGGCCTGGTGGAAGAGATCCGTCTTACAGGCCCTGCGGAACTGTACAAGGTCCCGCAGGGCCCGGATCTCCTCCGGGAGCTCATTCCACCAGGCAGGAGCCACCACCAAAAATGCCCTGGCTCTAGTCTGGGCCAACCTCACAGCTCGGGGGCCTGGAACTTCAAGGCGATGGAGATTCCCCGATCTCAGTGCTCTTGAGGGAACATACGGGAAGATACGGTCTCTTAGGTAGTTCTTATAGTCCATTATGTAATCACCCACTACTAACCAAGACCACAGTAGTCCCTCAAAAAATCATTTTAAAAAACACATTTTGGAGCTAAAGTATAGTATATGTTTTGCCATTCCATAGGAGGAAGACCCATTCAAACTTTGCTTAGCCCCGGAGTGGCAGGATACAGGCGAATGTACTTCTTGTTAATTGCAACACTCAAAATTAACACATTCAAGTAACATAATCCAACTTTTAATAAAATTTTGAGCCGGCCTCCCGTTTATAAAAACATCAAAAGCAGAGAGACTGAAAACCCTCCAAATAATAAAAGGAGTGCCTGTAGCTTTAAGAAACAGATGCCCACAGTGACTGTTGCTAGGCAACCACAAGAGTATTGACAACCAGTTCCAGCCTTGGTTTCTGTCAGTAAAGGACAAGGGGCTGGTCCCTTTACAAGGCTGTTTTGGCCTTTGAAAGGACTTATCGGGACCAGGATCAAAAGCAATCACTGGGTGACTTGCTACCACTGACCTGCAAGACTCACTCAGGCCTGACTGCTTCCGTCTGTTCCGACAGCAGCCACCCTACAAAAGCCAGTGTGGTGCAATGTTAGCGTTTCAAACTAGGATCTGGGAGATCCAGGGCTGAATCCTCACTCTGCTGCGGAAGCTCACTGGCCAATTTCAGGACAGTCCAATACCTACCTCATAGGGTTGTTGTGCGAATAAAATAGAGACTAATGATGTAAGCTGCTTTGGGTCCCCATTGTGGAGAAAAGCAGATAAAAGGTAGGTGTGAAGGAAAGAAGGAAGCAGGGAAAGGTGAGGATATGGGAGCTGCAAGGAGGAGGAGAGGAAATAATGTGGGGAAGGGATTTGGGGGAGAGGTGCCATCCTCAAGTTCTTGCAGGTTCACCTCACTACGAATGAGCCCAGCTCAGCTGGCACTACATGACTGGGCCATAGTTCTCCTGGGGAGAGGTGCCAGGATAGGAAAGGAGGGAAAACTGAAGATGGGGGCAGGTAAAGGTAAGGTGCCTGATGGGTGGGAAGGAGATAAAGAGGCAGGGAAAGGGGAGAGGCTGTAGGGGCTTTCAGGAAAGGGAATAAGGAAATAATGGAGGAGGGGAAAATGAAACACCCCCTCAAGTCCTTGTAGGTTCCCCACTTTTTATTATGTAAATACCAAGTGTTAAGCATTATTGGTACCCAAAAAACGGCTATCAAATCTTACCTTCTTTTACCTCATGAATAATTTCTTCAGGGAGGATGAAATTTTTTTCTGAATTGGGGAAGGGAAGAATCTCAGACTCATGCTTAAAAAAAGAAAGAAAGAAAACCCTTTAAACAATGTGTTTACACCAACCATTCATATTTTGTAACCAACTGAATGGCCCAGGCTCGCCTGATCTCTTCAGATTCTTTGAAGCTAAGCAGGATTGGCCTGGGTTAATACTCAGATGGGAAGCCACCAAGGAAGGCCATGGTTGCTACGCAGAGGCAGGCGATATCTGTTTGCCTCTGTTCACCTCTTGCCTTTAAAACTCCACGAGGGGCTGAGATAGGTCATCTGCTACTTGGCAGCACTTTCCACCGCCACACAAATGAAATGGCAACTGCTTTTAAATTATTATATATATATTTTTTTAAATTACCTATGAGAAAATGAAATTGTACAGCACAATTGCATCAGTTTAGATCATTTTACAAGAAAAGTACCTGCAAACTCCCTGCTTCATTTTTAACTGGATATGAACGATCATTCAGCAATGGAGCGACATTATGGGACACGTGCTATTTGGTAGCAGAAAAGAGCAAGAGTCCAGTAACCCCTTAAAGTCCAAATTTGTGGTGGTGGTGGGGGGAGGTATGAGCGTTTGTGAGTCACTGCTCACTTCTTCAGATATAGCTAGAATGCGAGTCCATCTGTCCTATATACTGGAATGCTATTTGGTGGGAGCCTACAAAGATGGAAGGGGTATGCAAGCCGGATAGATCCGAAATACATTAGAACAAGCAGGGACCTGCGAAACTTGGCGGGGGAGGGATCCCATTTGTCAAACGTGAGCATCTGAATTCCTTGAATTGTACTGCTTGTATTCTGTACCCTTATCACTGCTCTTGTTTGCCATTGCATTCCTCGGGGGGGGGGGGGCGGTGGGGGAG